GATAAAATATCCATTTGGATGGAGTCAAAAATTATATTACACTCTTACAGCACATCTGCAAATCCTGGCCTTTTGAACAAATGACCGCAGTATACCAGGCCTCTGTGCTGTCAGAAGCTGATTCCCAAATACCAACTTTGAACCTCGCCCTACCATATGGACTCATGGGGTCAATGAAAAATGGTGTCTGAGGGGCCCCAAAACATGAGAAGTTCTGGCAAAAAGTGACAGGTTTTATCCAGGCTGCTGAAGAGAAATGTACTGAGACTAGAAAAGCTAAGGAGGTGCACGCCTTCAGAACGTGTCTGTAGATCAAAATACACCCTAACAGATTCTTGAGAGAGCCCCTGGCGGCTGTGTTAACCTTGGCATTGTTATCATTAAGAGGCTATGCTCATTTCTGGCACCTAACACTGGACATATTGACAGCAATGGGGTTGATGGAAGAGGAAAGAATCTGTTTTGCAGTTAAAAAAAAAAAAAAAACTTCTCAGGTTTCTCAAGCCATTTGAAATCACGCCAGAGAAATACTTGATTTCAGCATTCTTCAGCTCTCTGCGATGATGCCGCAAGTGCTGTCCCCCACATGTGATGATGTATTTCAGAGCCAGAGTTTTCTCAAGATGTTCCAAGCCTGCAGGCTCCTGATCCTTTTTCAAATTACCAAGATAATAGTATCCCAGTGAGAGTTGTGATTAGTCTAAACTCTCCACAGCTGTGAGAGATGAATGTACAAATTCCAATAAAGATTCTGCATGTTCTGGGCTGAATTTACCTACACGACATCGAGGCCTAATTCAGGGACCACTTAAAAGAACTGGAGCTGCTTCGGTGCGACTCCATTCTTCCATGACATCAGCTGCTAGGAGGCTTGCAACTGGCCCAGGAGGATGCCTTCCCTCATGCCAATGTCACCGCCCAGCAGTGGGTATTTGTCTAAAAGACCTGTAGTATGCAGGGGAGAGATGCAGGGAAGGGAAAATTAAACCTAAGTACCTGGGAATTGGAAGAAGCCTTGCAATTCATTATGTGAGTAGCCAGGGAGATTACAGGACACCTTGTAACTGAAGCAGTTGGCCTGGGACTGTGTGGGACAGCAGAACCAGCTGCCTCGCCACTTCTAACTTATTTACAATGGTACTAGCAAGAAACCAGGCTCAGAGAGTTCTTCAGACACTTGGGAAAGACAACAGTGCTTTGATTTCCTAATTTGGACACCTTTTACCTAAAATACTTCCTTGAATACTAAATGAATGTAATAATACATGGCATGCCCCTTTACCATGTTTTTTGTTTTGTTTTTAAGACAGAGTCTCATTCTCTTGCCCAGGCTAAAGTTCAGTGGCACTATCTCAGCTCACTGCAGCCTCCACCTCCTGAGCTCAAGCCATCCTCCCACCTCAGTCTACCACGTACCTGGGACCACAGGTGCAGCGCCGCCATGCCTGGCCAATTTTTGTAATTTTTTTGTTAGAGACAGGGTTTTGCCATGTCACCTGGGCTAGTCTCAAACTCCTGGGCTCAAGTGATCCGCTGGGCTCAAGTGATTCGCCCACCTTGGCCTCCCAAAGTGCTGGGATTACAGGCATGAGCCACCGCACCCAGTCCCCTTTACCATGTTAATAATTGTATCACCTGGAGGCACTTGCCTATTCTTTATGAAATACCTGACACTCAGCATGCTTTCCATGACTAGGAAAGACAGGGGACAAGGATTCACGACATTGTCTACACACATTAACAATTACAGAGAAAGAAAGAAGATTGTTCAGAAAACAGAAATTTATACCAAACGAATTTATAGCAGGGTTTTTTAAAAAAAAAGATCTAATAGAATTTTCATGAATGTAGAATCTTCTAAAGCCACACTACCTTCATCTTATACATCCACATCCATTGTTTAGAGCCCACTGAATTTTATAACTGTGTAACTTTCTTACTCACATCTGGAGATTTTACTAGTGCACTGTAATTTTATACTTTATCACACAGCCACACACATGTTACTCTTATGTGGCATGTGGCATTTCTCCTTGTAGACTCTGAACTCGACGTTTTACTCTCAGGGGCAAACCAGAAAGAGAACATGACTCAAGTCAGGAGACCCACCAGAGTTGAATGAGCCATAAATGAAATTCTCAAAATACCAAACTCTAGGTGATCCATACATCCATTTTATTAAAATGGGAGTGGGCAGGACTGGAAAACCAAATTATCATATGTTCTCACTTGTAAGTAGGAGTTAATTTGTGGGTACGCAAAGGCATATAGAGTGGCATAATGGACACTGGAGACTCAGAAGAGAGGAGGACGGGTGGGGGGTAAAGGATAAGAACACTACCTATTGGAGGCTGGGCATGATGGCTCATGCCTGTAATCCCAGCACTTTGGGAGGCCGAGGTGGGCGGATCACCTGAGGTCAGGAGTTCGAGACCAGCCTGAACAACATGGAGAAACCCCGTCTCTACTAAAAATACAAAATTAGCCCGGCATGGTGGCACATGCCTGTAATCCTAGCTACTTGGCAGGCTGAGGCAGGAGTATCACTTGAACCCAGGAAGCAGAGGCTGTGGTGAGCAGAAATCGCACCATTGCACACTCCAGCCTGGGCAACAAGAGCGAACTCCATCTCGAAAAAAAAAAAAAAAAAAAAAACAGAACACTACCTATTGGGTACAATGTACACTACTCGGGTGACAGGTGCACTAAAATTTCAGACTTCATCGCTATACAATTCATCCATGTAACCAAAAACTGCTTGTACCCCCAAAGCTACTGAAAGTAAATAAAATCAATAAAATGAAATTGTAAAATGTAAACGGAATAAATCATCCAATCAAAAGACCAGAAAAATAGGAGTAGAAGTGAGGGAAGGAGGGAACACACTGATTTTTGTCTAATAGTCACAAAAACAAAACATAAATCCAGAAACATTTTCTCTTTTATTTTTTCACCATCTCTCATTGCAAATCTTCTATACGCTAATAGATACTTTCAACATTGCTACAGATCCCCTCAGATTTCATCTTCTCAAGAGCAAAAGCAAATCATTAATGTAAGCCTGTTAAACTGGATGGCAACTATGCATGACTTCCCCTGGAACCATGTTGCAAGAACCGCTTTTTCAAGCAGCTTTTCCTTGTCTTTCTGCTGGAGGCCGATTCTAGGTAAAATAGCCCAGCAAGGCAACTTGGAAAAAAACTTTAGAAAATTAATGAGTGGGAAATCATAGAATAAGTCAGGATTCTAGACAAATAACTGGTGTCCAAGTCCCCTCCTTGCCCCAACATTGTCTCCCCACTCTCTGGAGTTCTCTTCTCTGACTACAAGGGTAACCAACACTATGTCTGGGGGCCTCTAGGATACTACTTAAGCATCCTGGCAGTGTCTGATCTGAGTGGTCAGTGCTCAATGTTGTTAAGCATTTTGCATAAAAATGCTGATTTCCTGTGTGTGTAAATATATATATATATATGTTTATATGCATATATGTGTGGGGGGGAGGTATATGCCAGGATTCTAATAGCTAAAACAAAGATTCAGAGACAATAACTAGAGCAGCCATGCAGAAAAGGGGAGTGTTGCCTTGCTGGGAATATTCAAAGTTGGTCTGATGGTAACATGCAGTGTGCTACTAAATGACAACCATCTCCTAGGGATAAAAGCCCTGCTTTGGCACATGTGCAATTTCCCTCATGTAAATAACACCCACCATGGCTCATTTCAAGCTTCCCAAGTGACATCACTGAATGGAAAGTTAAAGAGAGAAAGTCTTTCAGATGTAAATAATCTCAATTATATTTATAAATAATAGTAAAATGTAGTGGAATCACTAGAATGTGAATTTTGAGTATCGCATTTGCTTTTAATATAATGTAATTGCAAGTTTGCATAATTTAATATTTAATAATAGTTGCATTTAACAACTAGCTCCCAAAATCCTTGAAAATGTATCGGTGGGTAGGAGTGAGCAGGTCCCATTCGCTCCAGCACACCAGTACATGTTGCTCTTCAGGGACGTTAAAAGATACTTTGAACAAATCATCTGGATCAAACTATCTCCAGAGTTCCCAAGGATGCCAAACTCTTTGCTATCCCACTTTAGAAATACCCAAAACACAGGTTAAACCGTGGACGGTATTAAGAATGCCATTAACAACACCTTACTCTTGTATCACGCTTTACACTTTTCAAAGTAGTACCTTTATGGCACGGTGGGACTGTCTGACCCTGCGGAGTGAATTTAAATCGCTGGGTAAATAGCTTCTTAATGTATAATGGGTGAAAAGAAAGTCCTGGGAGCCGTTTGTCAAAGAGAAAGGCGAAGGAGTGGAACTGACAGTTCCAGCAAGGAAGCCGGGAGACTGGTCGGCCCCCACCCGGTTCCTGGTTCTCTCCTGGAAATGGCTCCAACATTGCGCAAGCAGGTGGGTGTACAATAGTTTTGAGCACACATCTCTCCCTCTCTCAGATTTAATTAGAATTTCCCTTTTTTCCAACAAAGAGTTGGACCGGATACCTTCTAAGAGTTTTACAAACAGTAAAATGATAAGCTCCATAACATTCAAATATGCTCCTAACAGCTCAGTAATGGTTTCCTCCAAATCAAAACGTGCCTGTTAGTGCAGCAGACGCTTGTGCAGACTCTACATGCATTCTCACCACAAAAACTTATACCGCCAGTAGTCGTGGCCGAGTGGTTAAGGCGATGGACTAGAAATCCATTGGGGTCTCCCCGCGCAGGTTCGAATCCTGCCGACTACGGGATTAATAGCTTTTTTTTTCTTGCCATCAAACACTTTTTGTGTTTTAGAGCGTTCTGCTCGAACTTCCACAGATTTCAGGAATTTTCTAACGGTTGAAACACAACAGGGACCCAAACGGGACAAGAGAGAATGAAAGGGCGAGAAAGTGTGGTTGTGGTTACAACGTGGGCCCGGGAGGGGGAGACGGGACAAACCACGCCAGACAAGCTGAAAGGAAGAAACGCAAAGCATCGCGAGTCACACAGACACAGGGCAGAGACAGCTCCGAACTCCGTCCCCGCATGCGCCAGCCCCTCACGAACCCACCGCATTCTCTGCCGCCAGCCCTCGTGGGCGCCGGGTTGCCACGGGAAGCGGTGCGCATGCGCACGGACGCCTAATGGAACGTGAGCCAGCCGGGTCCCCGCGTTACCCCTGGAAACCACCGGAGCCTGGCGATTCGAGGGGAAAACGCCAGGCGATTCAAGATGGCGGAGGACCTGGACGAGCTCTTGGATGAAGTCGAGTCCAAGTTTTGCACACCTGACCTTCTAAGACGGGGCGTGGTCGACCAGCCCAAAGGCTGCGACGGCGGCACACACAGTAGCGACCGGAACCAAGCCGAGGCGAAAGAGAATCTCAGGTTAACGGGGCGGGAGGGGTGGACTGTTCTGGTAAAGCCCTGCTCCAGGCCCTAAAGCTGCCCCTCCGCCGCCCAACCCAAAAGAAACGTGTCCGCGAACTCCAGCCCCTCCTTACATCACAGTTCAGCCCCTCAGCGCCCTATCCTCAGCGGCAGCGCACCCCTCGACCCTCTATACGGATTCTGGCATTTCTTCACTCAGCGCAGACTCCGCCCCTCGGCCGGCCGCAGAGAGCTGGTCCCGCCCTCCCGCAGAGCCCGCGGTGCCTGTCTTCTTCACCCTATTTCTGCCTGCCAGAGCCTAGGAGGTTCTAGTCGGGGACCGGGATGCCCCTCAGGCGCCCCGTTCTTAACGCCGAGAAGGCTGTGCTGACCTCGGCCAGATTTTGCCTCTGTGTGGCCAAGCGGTTCTCATCTCCCTGTGAGAGGCCTGTTAGACAACCTCATCCCTTAGACTCAGACCCCGCTCCCCAGGCCAATCCTAATTCTGTCTTTAGCTCAGTTTTGTTTTGTTTTTTGAGATGGAGTCTCGCTCTGTCCTGTTGCCCAGGCTGGAGTGCAGTGGCACGATCTTAGCTCACTGCAGCCTCCAACTCCCCGGTTCAAACGATCCTCCCACCTCGGCCTACCCTAGCTGGGATTGCAGGCACGAGCTACCACGCCCGGCTAATTTGTATTTTTCGTAGAGACAGAGTCTCGCTGTGTTGGCCAGGCTGGTCTTGAACTCCTGAGCTCAAGCTGTACTCCCGCCTCTGCCTCCCCTAAATGCTAGGATTACAGTTGTGAGCCATCGCACCTCATTTTGTTTGTTTTTAACTCAGGGAGTTAAGATGAGATTAGATTCATAACAAAAGGGTTAATTATTGTGAACATTAAATCGTCTACCTTCCTTCTCTCCATGGCCCCCTAGTTAAGGGTCCCAGGCATACATATGGAAATTTAGGGACATTTCTTAAGTATTTTGGTTTTTGATCTAAAAAAACTACCTTCCAAATTTACCAGTCGTTTTTCCTCCATATAATTATTAACAGGACTTCCTTCACTTCCCCATTTACCCCACAATCCCTGAAAAAAACAATGTTTGCATCAGAGTATTGTCCTTCAGCAACTCTTGCTAGAATCTTTTGGAAATTGCCTCTTGCCTAGAATATTTTGGAAACGCTTGTGAAATTACATGGAGGCAACCTTGGATCAATCTAAGAACGTCATCTCCGTTAATTTTTTGGCTGCATCTTTGATTTGGTTTTGTTTTTTTGGTGTGTGTATGTGTGATTTCCCAAAGTATTATCCAGCTCTATTACTATCCAGTTCACCTGGCTTATCTCCAGTGACATTTATTTATAAAAATTCACTCTGCGAAGATAAAAGCATCGAAAAAATTCTAAAGGAGCACATAAACAAAATTTCTAAAAGTTAGTCGAGTTCTGAGCAACATTTTAAAACAAAAATTAGAGACAACTATAATTACTATGAATGGGCTAACACTCATTTGGCTGGATGTTGTAAATATCACTCTCATTAACTTTTATTATCTTGTATATTGGAATTCTTTATGTGCCTATTAGTACATCTACCATCCAAATCCCACAACAGTTGTTGCTTTAGTACTTTTCATTTGTCCTGCTAGGGGATAGAGCCAATCTATCAAGGAGCTTTTCAGAGCTGTTCATCTTAGGAGAACTAGCATCCGGTGGGGCAGGATGTATTGAAGCAAGCTGCTCAAAATGGAAGGGACTATTTATGTGGATCTTCTCCAACCATGGGTTGTGTCATGCTTGCTCTACTAAAATTCATCCACAATGTTTCTAGTACCTCAGCCCACCTTAATACATTAGATTTTTTAGTACTAAATAACATAAAAGCCGTAGTGAACCAGTACTGTTGTCATTTATATTAAAACTTTTCATCTGGCAATGTAGTTGTAAATTGTACAAAAAACAGCAACAAAGGGCCTAAACCTTATACCAAATATAGTCCCAACCTGGTTTTTTTTTTTTTTTTTTTTTTTTTTTTTTTTTTTGAGAGGGAGTCTCACTCTGTCGCCCGGGCTGGAGTACAGTGGCCGGATCTCAGCTCACTGCAAGCTCCGCCTCCCAGGTTTACGTCATTCTCCTGCCTCAGCCTCCCGAGTAGCTGGGACTATAGGCGCCTGCCACCTCGCCCGGCTAGTTTTTTGTATTTTTTTAGTAGAGACGGGGTTTCACTGTGTTAGCCAGGATGGTCTCGATCTCCTGGCCTCGTGATCCGCCCGTCTCGGCCTCCCAAAGTGCTGGGATTACAGGCTTGAGCCACCGCGCCCGGCCCAACCTGGTTTATAATGTTATATATTAAAATTTTTCCTTGAGCCAAAATTGATACTTAAAAGCTAGGAAGCAATTTATGTTTGAATTTATTAACAGGAGATTACCTGCTAATTGTATAGCAGTGTAACCTGTATCTCTCGTAAGAGTTAAAATACTGATATTACCTCCTAAAATGATAGCTTTGCAAATAATACTATAAATGACCATGCTACATCTGGATACCAGGAACAACTGCTAATGTAAGGGGTCAAAACATGCAATTTGTTGAAGTGTTCAAAATGATAAAAAGAAATATGTGATTAGTAAAAAAAAGAAAAGACTGATGTGGGTTGAGAAGAACTGCAATAGGAATAAAGTGGTTCGGGATGATACAGATGGGAATATTTAAAGATAATATAGCTTTCTAGATGATAGCTATAACAGCCAACATTTATTGAGCTCTTTCTGTATGCTGAGTGCTTTATATATGTTATTTCATTTAATCTTCACAACCCCATGAGGTGAATACTGTTACCCCATTTCACTGACCAAATCAATGCTTAGTTACTTGCCTACAGTCATATTGCTAAATCACAAGGACATAGTACATCTAGATTTAAGCTTTGTATATATACCTCTCACATTTAATTATAGGTTTAAGTGTTTATATTTTATTTTGAATATACCTTTTATTTTCAGCAGAAACTATATCTTTAAAAGATTAGAATGTCAGAAACAGAGTCAGAGAGGGAACCAGTAAAAGCTTATTAACATTTGATTGAGATTATTATCACATCAGAAGACCAAAAAATGTCTTATACAGTCCTTTAAAATTATGAGTTCTCAATGAAATGTTGACTTTATTGTTATTACTATAGCAAAGCATAGGCAAGTGTAGGCATTGTGAAATTGCGTGATCTAAGAACAGACCAGAATCTTATGTAAGCTGGTAATTTGGATCTGTAACAGTACTGATTAGGTTGGTGGAGTTTGGATGCATCTGATTCTTGAAATTGTGAAATTGCATGAGGGAGGATACCCCAGTGAGTATGTCCTGAAAGCCAAAGGAGAGAATTTTAAGAGGCCATCTTAGCAACCTCTTATCAAAAAAGAAATATAAGGAATTGGTACCCAACACTGTCAGATGCTTCTGAAAGATTAAAGAGGATTGGAACTGAGAACCACCATTATATTGTAGTGATTTGGGCAGTGGAAACCTTTGAGAGAAGAGTTTCACTGTAGTTGAGGGATTAGAGGCCAGAAGTAGAATATTATACCTGAAAGAAATTTTAGTATTCTATGTATCATTTTTATAGATAAAATATTTGAGTTTCAGAGAGATTAAATAATTTAAACTAGGTCAGTAGCTCTAGACTGGTGATGATTTTGCCACCCAAGGGGCATTTGGCAATGTCTGGAGACTTTTTTTTATTGTCACACCTGGGGAATGGTGTGCTATTATTTAATAGCATCTAGTGGGTAGATGCTGTAAAACGTCCTGCAATATACAACAGTCTCCTGCCCCCACATACACACCCCAGAGAATTATCTGACCCAAAATGTCTGTCGTTCCAAGGTTGAGAAACCCCTGTCTAGGATTAACACTCAGCTGATTCTAAATCTATTCTACTTGTAAGGAAGTAGAAATCATGGATATAGACTATTCTTCAGTAGTGAGTAAGAAAGGGTGGCAGCTTTAAGAGAGGGGTTTTTCGAAGTGTCTCTTTGAAGAAGAAAGCCTTGAGCATACTTCTAAGTCAAAGGAAGAAACCAGTATACGGTGAAAGACATTAAGGGTAAAAGTTACAGTACAACTGAAGAGGCTAAGCCTGGAGACAGATAGAATCAACCATGAGGTAGTAGGCAGCAGTCTCTTGCTTTTCTTATTTCAGGTTAAATTTTTTTACTCCAAGATGTAACGAAGAAGACCTATGTTAAAAATTGTCAGAATAAATACATTTCTGAAATTAGAGAGTTTGACTAAAAAACTTGTCTTCTAAAACAAATAATTTAATGAGGTTATAAAGTTGGTGTACAGCATCTACTTCATATAAACGCTAAAGAAAGTTAATGTTGTATAGTATGAAGTGCAGGGACTGCCCTAGATTCAATTCCAAGCCTTTTCTCCCACTATTTATATGACCTTGAACAGATATCTGAATCTCTCAGTGCCTTTTCTTCATCTATAAAATGGGGTTAAATAAAGATACACTCATGTAAAGACTAAGGACAATGCCTGGGTTATAGTAAGTATTCAGTAAATACTATTTAGCTATTAGCTATTTAGCATCAGCTATTAAATAGAAGTTCTGTGCAGTAGTGGTTTGTATTAATAATCCAGTGATGACTTTGCCTGCAGAAGGTAGAGGTAGTTGAGTAGTTGAGATATTCTAACAAATAGCACCTTTTTTTGGGGGTGGAGGGAGGGTGGTCATTTGATTACATGACCTTTGGCTCCTCTCATAAAGAGATATGGTTGACTTACAATGCAACCTTTGGGGAAAAGTCAGGAAGACTCTTAAAATTATCTTTGTTTATAATATCAGGTTCTGCTTATCATTGTACATATTTTGCATTAAATATATGCTTTATGTAATTTAGATAAGTACATACCCAGCTTCCTCTCGAATATAATGTATATAGTTTTAAATGTCTCAAGTATGTAATATCAAGTATGTAATAGTATAGAACATATGTGAATTTGTACCTGATAAAATATATCTTTGTCTCAACGAACTTAGACTATATCCACAGTGAAAAAAATTAAAATCACTTTTATCTTTCTACCATCAACTCTAATAATGGACTTTAAGCAAAACTCTTCCGATACTAACTTTATCTGCTCATAAACCTCAGGCAGGTTTTCTCTGCATATATTTTCTTTTCAGATCAACAGAAACATTTGAAAAAGAAGATGATCTTGACAGTCTTATTAATGAAATATTTGAAGAGCCCAACTTGGACAAAAAGCCCTCTGTAAGTCAAGTGTTATAAATATGTAGTAATTCTGTCATTATTTCAAGACATGTTTAGAATAGTCTTAAAGAAGACGCAAGTAGCTACCCATTATCTTTTGAATTCCGAGAAATACAATTACTTAAAGAAATTATTACACTTAAAGAGCTGTAGAAGCAGTAAAATATTAGAAACTCTCAGTATGTGTTTCCCTGTGCATTTCTCAGTAAGAATAACATATTAGAAAAGCTGTTAGCATAGAAGTCAACTCACACATCAAGCTGGTCACTTGTATTTATTTGTAGTTTCTAAGAACACTTTTCTAAAAGGCCAAAAACAAACAGCTTTCATTATAGGAATGTGCTTAGCACTTCACATGCAATGCCGTTGCTCTTATCCCATGAAGCAATGACTAAATTGTTAATATTTCAATTTTTTAAATGTTTATGTGTCTATTTTAGCTGCATAAAAAGTTCACAAAATAATATAACAGCAACCTATACACTGAACATACCATGACAGCCACCCATATTAAACATATATTAATATTTTGCCATATTTGCTTCACTGGACCTTTTTTTAAAAAAAGAAGTGCAAATTAAAGATATAGTTTAAGACCTCTCTAAATCCTACTCTATTGTCTTCCTTCCCAAAGATAACCATTTATCCTTTCCATCCATACATTTATACTTTTATTACATATGTATATAACCATAAACAATTGTAACTGTGTACAGCAGTCCATTATATAACTGCCACAGTTTATCCACTTCCCTGATGATGGACATTTACATTGTGCTCAGTTGTTTGCTATTACAAATAATGCTTCATCAGATATTTTTTTTTAATTGGAGAAAAGGCATACAAATTTTAACATGTACACAGGGAAAACCAGTGATTACTCCTTCATTAGATATCTTTACATGGCTTCTTTTACCCATATACAGAAGTTTCTCTAGGATGTATAAAGCTAGAAGAGGAATTCCTAGGTCATAAGGTGTGCTCATCTTCAACTCTACCCATTGCCAAATTGTTTTCCAAAGTGACTTTATCACTTAACGTTTTTCATACTGGGCAGTATATCAGAATTTATGTATTTTAATTTTTATCAGTATGGTGTGTGTCAAGCATATCTGTCAGATTTAAAAGAAAGATACAAAAATAGAAGTCTGATTTACAAAGATCACAAAAAAAATTAAGAAATAACTATAGTACCAGGGTTTTGTTTTTTAAAGGATAGGGAAGATAAAAGCAAAACAGTGGCCTGAAAACATCTAGGTAATGGTTGTGGTAAGGATATGGATAGAGACCACTTATATTTTTGTCACCCAGACTAAAAATCAAATGACCAGTATAGATTTTAAGATCTGAATTTTTCAAAATTAAACTTTTCAATTCACCTGAAGTAAATTAATACACTGATGCCAAGTTGAATAATATGTAAACACAATAGCAATATTAAATATAGTCATTCCTTGGTATACTCAAGGGATTGGTTCCAGGAACCCCCCACATATACCAAAATCCATACATACTCAAGTTCCACAGTCAGCCTTACAGAACCCACCTATATGAAAAGTTAGCCCTCTGTATATGGGGTTTTGCATGCCACAGATACTGTATTTTTGATCCTTGTTTGGTTGGGAAAATTCCACATATAAGTGGACTTGTGCAGTTGAAACCCATGTTGTTCAAGGGTCACCTGTACCCTGCAAACAGAATACTTCCTAAGTACCAAGTAAGTGTGTAAGCACTGAATAGTAATGTCAATTTGTAGTACTAATTAATGGTAGAAAAAAATTACATCATTTTGTTGCTCTTCATTAATCGTCTGAACAATTCATTATTTATTAAGTACTATAGGGTGCATATCTGTTTATGAGGCGCTATCTTTTCAGTTAAGGTGTTTCAGAAGAAGATAAGTACTTCTCTGGCTTGGCTTTAAGATATACTAATTTGAAATAAAAGTAGCTCTTACAGTCATGAAGAAATAAATTTTTAAGCATGATCTTTTCCTTTCTTAGTTATGTATTATGTCCAGTTTTCCAGCCTTCAAAGGAGACAGCAGGTCTAAGTAAAACATTCATTGGGAAAAAAAACATTTAAGAAAAGAAACATTGATAAACAGATGGTCTATGCCAGTGTTGTCATTAGAGGCTATATTATGCCCTAAAAATACTACTGCCCCACTGCACCCCCAGCTCTCCCATTCTGTCGCATTTCTGAACTGTTCCCAGACCCACACAAGAAAGCCCAGGAACCAACAACGAACCTCAGAGTGTGCCAGCTTAGAGTCATAAGCATGAGTCTGGATGGCTCATGAAACATGCTCCCCAAACAGAAAGATTCGTGCATATTGTTATTTTTCAGACATGTACCAAAATTTTTTCCATTTCTGCTTAACATCAAATAAGAGTTGAGCGACATAGTAAAACAATATTTTCGCCTCTATTAAATTTCCTCATCCACTATGTAAAATGAAGGCACGACTCTGCATAGTTTAAATTGCCTTTTCTCCATCTCACTTCCACTCCTTGGCGGTGGTCCTAGTGTGTGGTTGGTTTATGTTGTTTGGTACCATATACCAGTTAACACTTAATAAATGCTTGCTAATGATGATGATATTATGTAACCATATAGGAACTACTGTATGGTTGTGACTAGGTAGCTCTACATTTTTATTGTAGAACATTTATTGGTTGATACCATTCCATTTGATCAAAATTAATATTCCTGAAGTTACACAGGAGCTTGGTTAGTTTAATTTTAGTTCATATGACGCACATTCACAGCCTTTAAAAATGAGTCTGAGGTTTTTTTCCTCCTCAATTGAATTTTTCCAGAATGAAGTTTTAAATAGCAGGTCCTTCATATTAAATCATTGAACTGTAATATTAACTGAAGAGTTATAAAGTGACTCTAAATCTTAGCATGCTAATAATGGCAATATATCAATTTCCTAGCCTAAAAGTTAGTAGAGTAATTTGCACATTCCTTAGGGAGTTCTGCTTCCCTTTTGCCTTTAAAAGGTTTTGATCATTGTTTTTATTTCAGAAACTTAAAAATGATGCCATCAAAATGTGTATTTAAGTCATTTAGAAAATATTCTTGTTATAAGGAATATTAGTTTTCATGTTACAGTTTTCTAAGTTACTCGTGGCCTTTTATTGTTTTGCTTTTTTAACAGAAATTAAAATCTAAATCTTCAGGTAACACATCTGTCAGAGCTTCCATTCAAGGCCTTGGTAAAAGGTAAGTTGAGATTGCTTTGGTGACTTATACACACTATTGAGCAAACACTATGAGCATAGTCTAGTAGATTTTACCATTTAAACAGCAGTGACATTGAACAACAAAGCATTGGTTGGCCTTCAGGAGAAAGACCAATAGCAATATCTTCAGTGTTCTTATGGTCTATGACCCCCTTCATGTAAAGGAAATTAAATGGGGGATTATTGCTATTGTAAATAATTTTCTGCCATTTAAAAAAAGTGTGAACAGTTTCTCAAAATTAATGTTCTGTTATATTCTTCAGTATTTACTTTGTCCCTTACATTATTTGGCAAACACATTTTTCTTTTACTCATTTTAACTCCTTGAGTGTTCCTGAATGTACAGGTTATATCCAATAAAGCAGTGATCCTACAATAAATAGCTCTTCTTTGAAATGGTTGGCTTGCTAGGGAAAATAGACAATTTGATTACAAGAACATAAAGTCAATAAAACCAAAAATTTTTTAACATGGCCAATTAACTTCTATTTTTTGCTATAACTTCATATTTTTGCATCTGTTGAACACATCTAGTTGCAGTCCAGTGTACCTTGGTGGAAGCTCTATTCCATGTGGGATTGGAACAAATATTTCATGGAGGTAGGTTGTCAGAAATGTATTATACTTTCTTACTAGGTTTTTTCCAAATGGATGCCCCGTTGTTAAAATGTAGTTCTTAACATCTTCACATCAATCTGTTTTATAAGGAGAGGTATTTTTATTAGCTAATCTAAGAATTCTTTGTTTTTTATTCTTGGGAGATAGCTATTGAAAGCTGTGATATTAGGTATGTGTTATTCATTTTATGCTCTTTTCTAAGCCCCACTTGAAATGCCTGGATCACTCCAGTCCCAGCTTTGTTTCCACAGGACACAGGAGAGTGAACTTCTTTCCAGGCAGTGGAAGCAAAGTGGCCATGCAGATACATGATGCCTTACCCACACGGCCTTGGCCAGTTAGCATGCAAAGCTACAGGTCTGCATTACCCAAAACATTCTCAAGCATAGTTGCTTGATTTCACATGTTGACATATTTCAAAATGTAATATGCAGAAACCTACATTCTTTGTCTCTTCCCTGCCCTTCCTACCTCTGTTTTCTCACTCAGTACCTCTTTCTGGGCAGTCTTATAGTCATGATGCCACCTACCCCAACCCCATGTTAGCCCCATAGTCCTAGCACATTCCATTGGCACTTTCATAATATGGGCAAACAGTTTGGCTTTAAGCAAATGCTACTCTCCTGCTGCTTTTGGTTCTATTTTTGGCAGAGGCCTACTTACCTAGCTTACTTTATTAAAATATTTTTATCTAGTTATTTCTAAAACACTTACTTTCTGTTAATTTTTTAAGAAAGAACGGCCTAAGTTATATGATTGCATGTTGACCACATTTCTGGAGGGATAACTGTTATATAGTCAAGCGTCACCAGCAAGGATACATTCTGAGAAATATGTCATTAGGTGACTTCCTCATGTACAAACATCATAGAGTGTACTTACACAAACCTAGATGGTATAGCCTACTACACACCTAGGCTAGGTGGTGTTCTAGCCTACTACACACTACTAGGCTACAAACCTGTGTAGCATGTAACTACACTGAATACTGTAGGCAGTGGTAATGCAATGGTACATATTTGTGCATCTAAATATTAAAAAGGTTCATCAAAAATACATTCTAAAAGATTTTTCAAATGGTACAGCTGTATAGGGCACTTAGCATGAACCGAGCTTACAGGACTGGAAGTTGCTCTGGGTGAGTGAGTGAGTGAGTGGTGAGTGACTGTGAAAGCCTAGGACATTATGCTAGTGTAGACTTTATAAACACTGTAACTTAGGCTACACTAAGTTTACTTTAAAAAGTCTTTAATAATACTAACCTAAGCTTACTGAAACTTTTATAAACTTTTAACTTTTGATTCTTTTTTAATAGTAATTTAAAACACAAACACTGTACAGCTATACTAAAATATTTTCTTTCTTTGTATCCTTATTCATAAGCTTTTTTCAATTGTTTCATTGTTTTTTACTTTTTAAACTTTTTGTTAAAAATGAAGACACAACACACACATTAGCCTAGGCCTGTGCAGGGTCTGGATCATCCATGTCACTGTCCTGCACCTCCACATCTTGCCCCGCTAGAAGGTCTTCGTTGAGGGGGCTACAACATGCATGGGGCTGTCATCTCATAAAAACAGTGCCTTCTTCTGAAATACCTCCTGAAGGACCTGCCTGAGGCTGTTTTACAGTTAACTTTTTTTAATAAGTAGAAAGAGTACATTCTCAAATAATGATACAAAGTATAGTATAGTAAAATCATGAACTAGTAACATAGTTTATTATCATTATCAAGTGTTATGTACTATACATAATTGTATGCACTACTTTTATACAACTGGCAGCTCAGTAGGTTTGTTTACATCAGTATCACCGCAAACACATGAGTAAGCATTGTGCTATATAGGACAGCTATGATGTAACTAGGAATAGGAATTTTTCAGCTCTGTTATAATTCTGTAGGACCACTGTTGTATATATGGTCCATCATTGACCAAAACATCACTGTGGCAAATTAACTGTATTGAATAATAGAAGTGGGAGTTAAAAAAACATTGTTGGAGGGTTGTGGTGGTGCCAGCCTACATCCAAGGACAATGCCCAGAAGGTAGGGCTATAGGACAAAGGTGAAATTAGGAGTCTGGAGAAGCCTTATATGGGAATACCAGGCAGCCAAAGGCTAATATAAATCCACTGGAATGTTACCTGCTGTTAGAGCTATAAAGAATAATTAATAGTAATTGAATCATCATGTATCGAGGACTCTCTGTACAAAAAAATTAGAGCTACAAACTGCCTGTAGAGGTGAATTTAGTGTTGTTGCTATCAATCCTCAATTACCTGTCTCAACTCAGTTGGGACTTGTCTCCGTCATTTTCAGAGCCATGCCTCCTCTATTCCAGGGATCTATCAAGTCACCCATGAACCACAGCAGCAGTTTCCCAGTTAGCATCCACTTCCATCTTTTCTAGTATCACCCACATATAGCATTCAAGATAATATCCCTAAAATATTATTTTGAGTGCCTCTCCTCTATTCAGAAGGGAAGTGAGAGTTGCCATTTGTCTCACACTAACTCTAAACTTACTATTTGCTTTACCAAATTGTTATCCTTGTTGTTCCTCTTCTCTCTTCAGTTCCTTCAGCTCCAATTAAAGCCTGGGTCAGATATTCCACTTCCACTGGGACGCTTGTCATTCTGTACTTTCCACTTGCGTTTTTCTGCGTCTGAGTATATTTACATTTATTCCCTGTCTGAAACAACACTCCCTTCTAATGCATGTCTCCTGCTGCCTTATCTGTTTAATTCACATACTGCAGATTGATTTTTCCATTTGAATTTTTTCCATTTTTTAAATCCATTGAATGCCCATGTCATAAACTCTGTGTTAGGTTATCAATGAAAGGCAGAACATTGGCCAGTGAGGAACAAAGCAGCACATGATTACTCCTGTGGCATGAAACGGAAGGGCTCTGATGACAGAATGCCTGAGTTCAAAGCCTCACTCTGCCACTTACAAGCTCTGAAGCCTTAAGGAGGGATGTTATCTTCTAAAACCTATTTCCTCACTCTTAAAAACTAAACATATTTCATGGAGATACTCTGAGGATTAAATGAAATAATACATGAAAACTATGCTTATGGTGGAAAAGACAGCTAGGTACTGCAGGCACACTGGGTTCTAATTAAGGTGTCTTTCTCATCCATTAGTCCTGCTTTCTTGTTATATCTCAGGGACTAGAATATTTATTCTACTACTAGTTTTCCATTTAATCTCAGGAAATACATATACTTATAGGTGCCTTCTGTTTTCATGAATGATCTTTTAAAAAATACATTCTGGTTTACTTCTAAAAAGTAAACATTTCATTAAGATTTTCTTATGTATGAAATATTTTGTGTGTACTTTGATTTAGTTCTAGCACAGACAAAATCTATGCTAGATGGAATTTCAGTAAACCAAAGAACAGCCTGTTTTCATAGCTCAAGGCTCCTATCACATACTGTTAGTCCAAGTGGGATGCCAAAATCAATTATACCCCATTTCTGCCTCCTGCACAGCTGTAAGAAGAGATACCAGTTGCATATATATGTGCAGGTAAATATTTGTATTCGCAGACTTTTTATTAGTTGCCCCTTTCATGACACACAATTTGCACCCATAGAAAGATAAACACATGTTCGTCTGCATATGCAACATTTTATGTGTGAAGTACTTTATACTGTCCAGAGCACTTTTTATATATGCATATTGACTTACCTACTCTACAGGAGAAAAACCCAAGATGCCGATCAAGAATTTTTACCTCCATTTTATAAATGAAGAGATGGAGGTACTTGTGTTAAATTCGTCAAACATATATTAATCACCTGGTAGGTCCTAAGGATTAAATGAACAAATTATGGTGAACAAATAAATGGACACTTCCTGTCCTCCATAAGCTTTCCGTCTAGATAAGGAGATAGGCTTTAAATAGATATCCCACAAATAAGTATTTAATTTCCATTTGATATGTGACATAAAGGGAAAGTGTGGCATACTATAAGCATAAATAATGGGCACTCTAACTAATATGAAGGATCAAGGAATAATTCTCTGAGAAGATAAACCACAATATGAAAAATAAGTAGGAGTTACGCAAAGAGAGGTGACTATTGGAGCCGGAGCACACACATGTTTAGAAGGTCCCTGAGAAGGGGAGGGGCTGGGGGTGTTCCTCTGGTGGGAGGAACAGAGAGCATCTGGCCGTGCTGGAGCATAATGGGTAGGGAAAGAATGGCCGCTGAGGGGACTGGAGAGAGAGTGGAGGGACATTTGACTTAGGGTCCTGTAATCCTTTAGAGGATTTTGGGAAAAGTATGCCCTGTGTGCAATGGGCCAGATTTGTGTTTCTTAAAAAAGTCATGTCAGCTGCTGTGCAGAAAATGGCTTGGGAGTTGGAGGGGCAACACAGGAAAGAGAAGATGGGAGCTGTGACCTGTGTGGTAGCAGTGACTTAGGGAAAAGCTCAAATTTGAAGTATTTAGAATATAGAATTGACAGAATTCAGTGATTGACTAAGGAAGGTAAGAGAGAAAGTTGTTAAGAATGACTCCCAAATAATGTGCCTTGCTCAAGGTCATATCAAGTATTACAAAGCAATGATTCAAGTTGGTTACTTGATACCTAATCCATTACGGTTTCTATTATACCACATAGCAGAAAGCCATGTAATGTATGGGAAGAATCTTAGCTGATGTTGCTGTTGGAACTGCTGTTATCTTCAAACTGTCCAAACATCAAGTTTCTCTAGTCCCATTGTGTAGATCTGATAGGATTTAACAGAGAACCACAGTGTCTGGGCAGAAGATTATATTGGGTTAGATTTGGGGCATTCTTGTCATAAACATATTTAAAATAGTGAATTCTACTTATTAGCTGGACAAAAGAACAAAGCTCTTGGTGACATGTGTGATTTCGTCTACATTTTAGAGGGAAAGACCTGACAGTTTGTCTTTCACTGGAGTCATGACTTTATATTAGATATGCTTTTATTTACAT